CATTTGGTTCTTTAAAATATAATGTAAGCAGCTTCTTCCTTACATTATATTTTAAAGAACCAAATGTAATTTTTCTTCCTTGGGTTGTTTTTTTGTGAATCTTACATAAGCATTGCATAATTTTATATTATTCAAAACTTTAGTTTTCATATTTATTTTTTGTAGAACTCTATGAGCATCTATAAAAATTCTGTGAAATTAAATTTGTTATTAAATTTTTGGATTATAAGAAATGTTCATATATTTTTATACTTTTTAGATAAAAATAGTCAATAGTTATTAAACTAGTTCACTTCTTGAAAATGGAATTATAAGAAATTTTACACATTGTGATTTAGAATAAAGGCACTTCCACTCCTGTTACTGCCTACAGTCAACCAACAAATGGATTGTTGAGACACATCATTCAGCAGGTGTATAACCACTCAGTCACTGATCCTGAGAGGTTAAACCAGTATGAACCTTTCTCCCCTGAGGTGGGTAATTGTGAATTCATGTTTCTGGATAGGTGTTACTTATAGAAATCCACTCTGTTTTGGTTTATCTTATTACAGCCAAAATGATTAACATTATGATATCTTATTAAAAAATTGTAAGTTTTTAAAAGATTGATTTAGAACATTAAATACCTCTAGTCTGTTTGTCACATAGGATTCTCTCTTGAAAGGTTTTGTTAATGGATTGTATTTGTGTAGGAAGTTTTGGATGACATTTCGAGCTGCTAGCATACTCTCCTCTGTCCAAACCTTCTCAAAAGGAAGGATTATCTTTGTTAATGTATAATATGTAATGCTGCTTTAAAAGTATTTTTTGTTCTGGTCGATATAGTTAGCTTGCTTTTGATCAGAAGTTCATAATTAAACAGCTTTAATGGTTTATACTGGCGTATGTAACTTGTATCCACTTTGTTTAACCAAAAACTTAGAAATAAATTGTTTTATGGAACTTCTGTACATCACATTAAGTAGTGTGTGTCATAAAATAAAAAGCAGCATCAATAGTTTTCAAGAGTTAGGTATATTAATAAAACTTGTTCTTTTTAAAATTCATAGTTTATAATTACTTAACTTCTTATATGAAAAATAGTTTACAAGTAGAAGTATTTGCACTAACAATTCTGTATTAATTTGATTTGTAAATGAAACATAATGTTATGTTTCAATGTAACCAATGTTTTAGTTCCAAATCTTTGTATATTTGTCATGTTTATGGAGCTTACATTAAGTATACTTTTATACAGTCAGAACGTCTTATAATGCATGTTTTGCATAACATATTCAAATGTTTCAATATGGGGCTTATATCATGAATATCAAAAGTGCTTAGTTTGTTTGTGTGTAATTAATTGTTTGTATCCAACAGCAGAGTCATTATGACTTGAGCCCTCATCTCGTTATTTAAACCACTTTCTAATTGTACCTTATCATATAACTATAATATGTCCAGATTAATTATACCAGAAAAAACATTAAAAGTTGAAACTAAAATTTTTAAATATATAATCGAGAAAAGATATTTTGCTAATTATGATGCAGGAATCATTGTACTTAACCACTTGTAACTTTAAAAGAAATACAACATGACCAGTTTTGTGTTTGATGAAACTTCCTGGTTTATTTTCTTTGTTTTGAATTTTATTTAATGCAATCTGCTACTTACTGTTTACATAATTCTGTTTGTTGTTTCTGATTAATAGATCAACATGAAGCTACTTCATTCAGATTGACAGTAATTTTCTTTTTTTAAAGGATCCTTATGTATGAAAATAATAGTGTGAATAATAATGTAAAATTAAAACTTTGTTATACTGTATTGTTTTAATAGCATTGCTTATTATTTTTCAATTAGGATTTTTCATGGGAACTGGTTTTTAAATACAATTTTCTGTTTGTTAGAGAAATAATTTAATCTGTGGGGTAACAAAACAAAAGTTTTGTATGAATGGAGAAGAACATATTTACATAAGGGTTTAAAAATTAAAGACAAAAGTGCTTATGCTTTTGGAATAATTTTTGACAGTGTAGTTGTTATATTTCTAACAGTAACAACTAAAATTATAGTTATCAACAAAAATATAAAAAAATAGTAAAGATTTTTGTATGAAATAACTGTGCTTTCTGAAAGGGCAGCCAACAACAAAATGAGTTGTTTATCAGTGTCTAATATATATAGATTTAGCATTATACATTTATAGTGCTAATTATAAAAATCCTAACTGTAGGTGTATGGAGAAACATCATATGAATTTGTGGCTCAAATGATCCAAGAGATTGCCTTAAGTAAAGATGATGTGTTTATTGACCTTGGAAGTGGTGAGTAGCTCAGTCCAAGGTAATATTTTGAGTTCACAGTACTAATAACTTATACCAATATGTTCACTGGTTATTCTAAGTTTAAGTAAAAACATATTAAACTGTCATGTAAACTGTTGATGAACAAACAAGTATATGTTGAGACAATGTTCATTTGAATTTACAAGTCATTTGACACTTATATTAGAGGCATTTTAACAGGTTATTCGTATTACGTCTCTGCATAGAGATATACCATTTTTTCTGTTGTGTCTTCTTTCTTCTTCTTCTTCCAAACAATTTTCAATCGACTGGTATTCATTCATTTCTTGACAGATTGACTTGAAACTTGGTAGAGTTATGTCTTGGTTGAATACACTCAGGTAACTTTTTCGTTTTTTTATTTAAGCTATTTTAAGGATTTTATGGGGTCAAAGATCAAATAATCCAAATATGTATATTTGGGATCTTGAGCAGTTATATTTACAGTAATCAAGATGAAAGTTGGCACAAATAAATATGTTCATGCACCCAACACATTGACATACATAAAAGTTTAATTTCCTGGTTTGAGTCTTTTTAAGGGGATCAGAGCTCGCAAAAAAGCATAATCTTGGGGATTTCGGTCAATGACTCAGCCATATTTTGAGCAATTTACATGGGATTTGATACAAAGGTACTTTTCTACAGGTCCCACACATTGACAAACAAAATCGGTGAACTTGCCCATTTTTTTAATAATTATGGGGGGTCAAGGTGCCACAAAAAAGTATAATTTTAGGGTTTTTGACAATTACCCCACTGTATTTTGGCCAATTTACAATTTATTACTTTTACAGGTCCCATACATATTAGGTCGTCAAGAAATTAATGTCGCATTTTGGAACACTTTCATTAACCAACCCCCCAAAAAACATACATCACGTATAATAGTTAAATGAACCACTTAAGCGTCACGTTAGTGTAGCCTATATAATGTGTAAAATTTAGTATACTCTAATCCCTTATAGTGATGGCACACGACAAGACACACATTCAGCATGTAATGCTGTTTGAATACAAGAAGCAAAACAACATCTCTGTAGCCACAAAAAATAATCAAAGAAGTTTATGGAAAGGTTTTGAATGTTTGTAAGTGTCAACGATGGTTCAGCAAATTTTGTTCAGTTGACTTTACCCTTAAAACTGTGATGGCAGGGGCAGACATGATGGAATTGATATTGATGCTCTGAAGATGCTTGTTGAGTCTAACCCAAGGCAACACACTCATGAAATGGCCCTGAAATTGCATGTTTCTCATGAAACATCTGAGGAATATGGGAAAATTCCATGAAGAATGTGATTGGATGTCTCACGAACTCTCCGATGATCATCGTTTCCAACGTGTGAATGTTGATTCATCTCTTCTGGCGCGTAATACACGTGAACCATTTTTGGACAGAATCGTCACCGGTGATGAAAAATGGATTCTCTATGCGAATATTAAAGGCCCAAAACAATGGCTCAGTTCTAGACAAAAACCACTTCCGACCCCAAAACCTGGACTACATCTGCAGAAAGTGATGCTTTGCATTTGGTGGGATGTCAAAGGAGTAATTCATTTCAAACTCCTCAGTCCACAGCGAACTGCCAATGCAGAAATCTATAGTCAGCAACTGGAAAATTTAAATCAAGCCCTTCATCAGAACTGCCCTTCACTCATCAATCAGAAAGATCTTCTTCTTTTCCACAACAATGTATGTTCACATGTGGCACGTTTGACGCAACACAAGATTATGGAATTGGGTTGGGAAGTTCTCTCCCACCCACCATATTCTCCAGATATGGCACCATCAAAGTACCATCTTTTTTCATTTGCTGCAACACCATATTAATGGGAAATTGTTTGCAAATGTGGAAGGTGTTAAAGAGGACATCAACATGTTTTTTTGCTTCAAAGCCAAGTGTTTTCTTTAATAAAAGCATTAACAACCTGACTGTAAGATGGAAAAGCATCATCAATAAGAATGGAGACTGTTTCATTTAATAAATATTTTATTTTTTCAACCAATTTACATGGGAGTTAGTACAAAGATACTTTTTGCAGAGATATGGACAATTTTGGAGTTTTTGTCTTTTGTTCAATGTTTCAGTGAGAAAAGCACAATTTGGGGTTTATATGAACTATTCATGTGTATGTCAACCAAGGTACATGGGATTTGGTACAAAGAAACCTTCTTCCAAGTTTCAAGCAGTGATATAGACAATTTTTGATTTTTCTGTTTTTCACGATTTTTCTGGTGTCAAAATTGGCATGTTGGGATTGCTTGATAGAGACATGTCAAATTTCACTGCGAATGTTGGCCTTTTTAATTTTATGAATGATATGTGAAAATATTGTTCATCACTATTTTAAAGTTAGACTTTATTAGAAAAATCATATCATTTTGAACTCTTATGTGCATACGTGGGAGTCAAAGTGTGCATGTAACTTTATAGTGTCATTTAACAAGGTATTTTTTATTTAATGTGAGAATGATCAACTATTCATTTTACTGTACATTACTGACTTAGTGACATTTCTTGGTAAAAGAGAGTAAATACTAGATACAGTAGTTACCATTTAATTTGCTATAAATATTCATCTGCTTAGGCAGTGGAGTTGGGCTATATATATATACCCCAAATTTTTGTGGCACAGAATATATATATAGACCTATATTACAAAATGGAATTAAACAAAGGATTGAGTGAGATCATAGCAACAAGTAGAGTTGCAAGTGATGGTAATTGATATTACATGTTGATTATGTAAATATTCTCTTAAATGTATACATACGCTTAGGAACTGAGACATCTCCAACTATTTCTACCTTTGTGAATATTAACCAAATTGCCACTTTTTATGATGCATATCTAAGAAAGAAGTTATTATATCTGCTATTTGAAATACTGCTTCTGACAGAAGCCCAATTTTGGACACAACATGGTAACTTGCAAGTGACCACAAAAACTTTGTTGCTGTGTACATCAATCTTGCATATAAGCAAGACAGGAGGCTAAGAGGGACTCTCATTAAAAACTAGCAACATGAACTGTGGGCCTGTTGGGCAGAGCTCAATTGACAAATATTTTGGAAATAATCTAAAAGCGATCAACATTGTCATATGCAAGTTTATGGGTAAGCTTATGTTGAAATTATATTGACAGAGAGCATAAGCATTTAGGAAGTAGGTTGGTATAAGATTATTAACATAACTGTCTTTTTGATAAGAAATTTCTAAATAGCCAATATATATAGATCAACAATATTTATATGTAAAATGTAATTTTAATGCTTGTAATTAAACTTTGATTTCAAATTCCAAAAATATGTTGCTAGTGGGTGTAATTAATTTGGCTGTGACCCTGCTGTGTGAGTGTTCACATACAAAACTTGATTATTTTAGGGAAGTTCATATACAATTTGATAAGTTGTGGGAGTACATATCACTAAATATATGCCACTATATTATATCCCAGTATAATGGTGATAAAATCTTATCTTGACAAGAAAAAAAAAAAGCCTGTAAATTCTTTTAAAAACTCTAACATAGTTCATTAATTTCCAATTCAGAAGATGTTGTTTGCTTATAAAATTGAGTTGGAAATATGTGTTTTTCAATTCCTGCCACACAATAAAAATAAAATATCACTTTTTAGCTCTTCTGTTTCACACCATTTTCATGTTTTAACTATATCATTTAGCTACTACTTCTTGTTTTCAACTCATTTTGTGTCTGTTTGATATTATGTTTTTTCCTTGTATATGTTCCACTACAAGCCTATTCAAGGTTATATGTTTAAGCCCTACCTATTGTCTGATAATAATTTTTACTATCTTCAAACAGCAGTTTAACTTGACGTTATTAGGCAGTACTTGAATTGTATATGGTATATTTTAGCTTATTTAAAGCCTTTTTACATTTATTTGAATTTGTTTTTTAGCTATAAAGGTTGATATTAGCAGATATAGTGTAGTTGACATATTATTATGCACTCTTCTTTGCTTTCACTCCAAAGTTCTTATTAATAATTAATGAATTTCAAAAAGGGTAAATGTTTTGAATGTTTTTATTTGAATACTGTTGAGTTCAGAGAAAAATCATATGCTGAACAAAACTATAAACTTTAAAGAAAGAACACAGTACTGTTCTGTTGTTCTAGGTGTTGGTCAAGTGGTTCTTCAGTTGGCTGCTATGTCACCATGTAAGATGTGTATTGGAATTGAAAAGGCTGATGTTCCCACACATTATGCTAAGGTAATGATCTTAACCATAATTTTTCATGTCTTTTAATAATAGTGTATTCTGAATGTTTAAAATAAAAGGTATTAAAATGGCACTTAGTCATGGATGTTTTAATTTGCCTATCTGTACAGGTTATATACTGTTATTTATAATAAAAACTTAACTTGTGCTTCAGGGGTTTCTGGTTAGCTTGAGAAAACATCACTTATTACATACAAAATATATTATTTTAATTTTAGAAATTATGGAATTGTCTTTAATGCTAGATTAATCTATTTAGATTATAATATTCATATTTTTGTAGTTGAAATTTAATAGTGATACTATCTCTGGTATCTGGGGTGTGTTTAACCCTGACTGTGTGATATTTTTATTCACTGATAAAGTATAGTACTATTAAGTTAGCCTAGAGTCGTATATATATATATATATATACATTAGAAAGATGAATAATTACTTGAGCTAGTATTGCACAAAACGAGAACTTTGGCAAAATTATAAAAACCTCTGTCCTTATACTCATTCCCTTAGATTGTTTTTCACAAATACCAAAAGGTTTTAACTTTGTTGCTACCTGTGTATAGTCATTTTCTTTTTCCAAGACTTGTTAGAATCCTATGGTAGTACAAGTAAGCACTCTGAAATAAGCAGTTAGGAGTGTTATTCAGAATGTGACTATTTTTCATATTGATAAAGTAGGTTGTTGCTAAGGGTACTAATACATTACAGTTGTATATACACAGCATGGTCACAAATAAATAGACACCATCTTTTCAGAAAAAATGAAATTTTT